AGAGATGACGTGCAGTTTTGTTTGTTTCCTGCTGCTACAGCCCTCTCACTTTTGGCCAGCTTCCACTCCAAATTTAAAGATGCTGTTCAGCTTTCCCTCATACCACTTATACTTGCCAATAGATTCTCATACAGAAAATATTCCTGATCGAATACTAATACAGGTTTTCATAAAAAATGGCATTCCCCTAAATGAGCTAGTCAGACGAGCTGTTGCACTCATACCTTTGCTTTAATTTAATAAGCATTCTTTACTTCTGTTTGTGCAAAGAGGATGAGCAATCACTTTTTTTTTTTAACTCTTCCTGTAAGACTAAGCATTTTGCAACAAGAACCATTATTTTTTGTCCCAGAGATAACTAGTATTTGTGCTCATATTTGTTGTTGCAACCTTCAACTACTGTCCTCTTTCCTATAAGAAATTTCCGACATTTAATTTAAATCTGCACTGAGTGCAATGGAACCACTGCTCCGCTTTGCTGCTTCACTTCTGAGCAACATGCAGCCAAGTGGGACTGGTAAAACATTAGCCCTTTCAGCAGGAGATGGAAAGGGAGCTTTTTGTCTTTATTTTTAGCTTGTTTTAAGAGCATACATGTGCATGAATATCTGTTAACATAACTCACGGCCATTAGGGCTGCTTCCTAATTCAGCAGGGCTCAGAAGCAACATGGGGGAAGAAGCTGCTTGGGGAGAGGGTGGCAGGAAACGGACCAAAGGATTAAATTTTTCCTTCTTTCTGAAATACTGTAAATCCCTTTTTCACTTGAAGTCTGTTGATCAATAGGACACTATGAACTTCAACAGACAGCTTTTAATCAGATTCTAAGTACATTTCTTATGCCAGCAGCAAAGTTACTAGAAAAATAGAAGGCCCTTAGATATTTGGGTTCAAACCTCTGTAATATTACCTCATGCTATTTTCCAAGCAGAGTCTAAAATGTCACCTAGCAGAAAGACTTAGAAAGAATTGCCTTAACCTGCATGCTTGCAATAGAAATTGCAGGCACAAACATGCACGTTTGTAAGGGAAGAAAAGAGGGAGAAATAGGATATTCAAACAGTGATCTCTGCAGAGGAGACAGCTGTTTAATTGAACTTTTTAATTGGAAAACCCACGTTACTTCTTTGTGTAAAAATGTCAGATTCCTAAGTGTTTTGAACCTCAAAAGACACACAAGGCACTTGCTTTCAGTCACAGGAAGCACAATTTACTCTCTTCCTTTCAGAAAAGATATCTCAGGAAGCAGCATGCTTCTTTCCAAAATCATGTGCCATTAACAACATATGAATAGGCTGGATATGAAATGCTGCAATTTCTTTCCATTCACCTACTTTGTATCCACCAGCCTTTGAACAGCACTCTATGTCTCTGACTATTCTCAAGCTAAATGAAAAACTTCAGTAGTTGGGATTTTTCTTCTTGAAACACCCTCAAGTAGTTCAATAAAAAGCACTCACTAGAAAAAAATATATTTAATAAGACTACGGTGATATGATGAGACTGAATTAAGGGAGAAACAACTAAGCTGGAAAAAACAGGGCAGAGGGGTTTACCAGAAGGCATCTGTATTGTTTCATGGTTTTAGGACAGCATTAGCTGTGCCTATGCTATTCCTAAGAGCATCCAGTTTGGTTTCCTGCTCAGCAGTGAATGTTCCAAAACTTCCTTACGCATTTTACTTCCAGTGCCTCGTTACCCTCGAGTTCCCCCCCTTAAAGCCAAATTGGAAGTTTCCTCGTTCCAATTACTATTATATCCAGCATGCGTAGAAAAATTCTCTTTCTGTCTGCGAAAAGAAAGATTTGAGGTGACTGGGTACGAAGGCCAGCCGGGCTCCCCTGATAACCAGGGGGAAAGGGGCATTCCCCAAACGCTTCCTTTATCTCCTCCTGGCAAAGGTGCTGTTGGTTACATGACTTCCCCCCAGCTCCTCTCGTGTGCCCGGAGGAGACCTGGGCAACATTCGACCTGTGGACACCTAGAAGTCAGGTTTTCTAAATCCACAGGGAATTCCGAGCATGTTTACATAGTGTTTTTTTAGGAGGCACAAAATAGGAGCCTGTGATCACCATGAGCTTGCACTAAAACTGGCACTCAACTTCAAGTAGATATCCTGATGTATACATTAAAGCTTCAAGTAGATACCCTAGTCTGTATGCCCCTTGTTGACTGAAATATCAACTAGCTTTGAAAAGAGTGTGAAATTTGCTTGCAAACTTTGCTGTGCATGCTACCTATTTCAATATAGCATCTGGACAGAGTGTACAGAACTGCTTCTCCACATGGTGAATTGTACTGGTGTGAATTGTACTTGCCATGTTTAAATTGCCAAGATATCTATTCAAAACAACAACTCGGATCTCCAGACAAGAACTAAAACCACACCTGACTGATCAAAAAGCTTTCTCCTCTCCTTTCTCTGAAAGGATAATTAATTCTTTTGAGAGACTCAAATTAATTTTTTTTTTTTTTTTTTTTAGGAAATGGGGAGACTGTTTTAGTTTTGAAGAGTCCAAAAGTACCTGTCATTTCAAAAAATTCCAGAAGAGCTCTGCAATCCTTCTGGGATGCACATGTGAAAATTGGTTTATTTTCTAATGTACTCATTATATAAGCGAAAATTAGCCTTTTGAGCACTGCTTTATGGAATCTCCTTTCCATAAAGGAGCAGGATGAGCCAATCAGTCACTGAACAAACAGCTATCAGACATGATTTGAAGATTTCCATTATGGACATAACTAAGCACAAATAAATACTTAATAAATAAAATCCCATCAAATTCACTTGGGTAGAACCGTTACTCGCTGTATCCCACTAAAGCTGTACACAAAACAGAGAAGGAATAAACCCTAAATTTCCTCCTTTGCTATTTTATTTATAAAAAGCCACTATTTCCAAGAAAGTTTTCTACTAAGTGCTTCCTATTGCATTCTGAAAAGTTTATACTGTGAGGTATATTGCACATCTCACTTCAACATACGGAACACACAAATCATTTTCAGTGTTAGGATAGCCTAACGGTTCCTTTGACCTAATATATTCTTTTAAGGTGGAAATTGACAGGCAGCAGATTCCTCTCACATCACAGCCAAAGATTTCAAAAGCAAGAACAATCTCTGAAAGTATATAATTTTGCTACACATTAGCAATGAGCTACTTTATTTATATTTCATTGGTTTCCATTTTTTCCACTGTTTCTGACTCAAACACCAAAGCAAAAATATCATAAAATTAAAACTCCTTTTGCAAACCCCAAAACATTAACAACACCTGTTCACATGAGGGGTTTTTCTTGTTTTGACTGTCATAAAACTCCTTCTCTGCATTTAGGCTAATCACAGCAGTGTTTTACACTCTAGTTCATATCTAATTAGGAAACAAGTTCAGAGCTTGGGTGCACTGAGCACTTATTTGTAACTGCACTACTAGCAAGTATTTTTTAAATTATTTTTAAAATTTTATTCTTTCTTTCTTTCCCCAGTTTGGTTGTTACCACCAAAAAAAGCCCCAGGCTTGGCCACTAGATGGCCAAGAAGACAGCAATTTTATGCAGTCTCAGCAGCTACCACTAGATGGTAGGTAACGATAATTAGTTGATTGCAATGAACAGATCAGTAAAGAGTTTATTATTATTATTATATTTCAGTTGAATTAACATGCAAAGAGATAACTGCGTTGTTTTGTGTTAAAAATATGCCAAAAAGTCCCTCCGAGGTCCCTCCCTCCCTCCTTAGCTATATAATCTTTCTACAAATGCTATACATTATAGGTAATATAAGGTATACGGAATAGGTAAAGAAGGAGGTAGGCAAATGAGCTTAGAACTGCCCATTCTTTACGTGACCCTGTCATGAAAACACAGCTCCTGACAGTGGCTTCCTGCATTGTAACTGCAGGAGACAACTTACTATAGGTTCTCAGTGAGCAAAATTCTAATTTCCGTATGTAACTGCTTTCCATAACAGCCATGCAGGCAATGATGAAGCACATATTTGCACTATGATCTTGTAACATGTTTAAATTTGAAAGCTTATGCATTTTATGCATTTAATTCAAAGCAGAGCAGAGCAAAGTTGGATGGTCAGATAGTCTTAGAAAAAAAAAAAAAAAAAGAGAGAGAGAGAAAAATTTTGATCTACAGAGTTTTTGACAAATATATAAGTAGTGCTCTGGCAGTCTCAGCTAACTGGCTAAACTAAAAAGAAAACTGCCAGTTTATCTGAATAAACCTCTCCATTCTTGCAGCTGTGCACAATGGCTCTGGGCATGCAGTCTTGGTCAAATATATTTGTGGATAAGTATTGTAACTTTCCTTAATTCACCTTCTCCAAGGAATGATTTTTATTGCCTGCCTACTCCTAGATGTAAGCATCAAGGCTGTTTTCAGATGAGATTAAGGACTAAAATATCGTAGATCAAAGACCTTTGCTTGAATTTTTGCTACTGACTCATATTGGTTGGATACAGAAGCTTGTAGCAAATGGACTGGGAAGAAAAGAAACCAAGTAAGCCAAAGCCTCCCCTTTTTCCTCCCCACAAAAACATACTTTTTTATGGCTACAACTACAAAGAGGTCAGACCATGACATTGCTTTGTCTCACTCTATACACACACACACACACATATATATATATATATATATGTATTTACTGTATTATTTATTATATGTATATGCATTTACTTAAAAAGGTAGCCACATACTTTTGTCGGCCAAGGTGTAAACCCCAAACTGTCCAAGTATATTTTAATAATAAGAAAAAAAGCTTTTTTGAAAGTCCTATATTCTGCATCTGCAACAATTAAACAAAGACTGCAAAAGACAAGAACTTGAACTAGGATGAAACCTAAGCTGCAGGACATAAAGGGACCTGATGAAAGGTGAAAAGAAGAGTTACATCTTCCACAACAAATTTTCAAAAAGGTCTCAAAATGCAGGTTTAGTTTGAAAGAGGAAACATCTTCAGAAATTAAATATACAATTGGGAAAATGGAGGCGGATTCTTTCTAGAAGTAACTTACAGTGGATATATCCAATTTTGTTCAATGCAAACTCAAGTTAGAAGGTAAGGTGTGCCCAGCATGCACAGTGCCTTGAGCGCTGAATGAGTGTTGGTGACAATCTGAAATCACCTGAAGACTGTATATTTTGTATGCTAGTGGCTAGTTTAACCAGGAGATAAATATGTAGAACAAATCCAGTCACAGCACGTTAAAAAAGCAACCTTATATGGCACATCATAGCTCTATCAAATCTCTTCTACCTAAAAAGTGACTGTGAGTTTCTAATCCAGCCTTCAGTTGAAATTGGTTGTCCTAAAGATAACAGAACTGCCAAAATTCACAGTTTACAGTCTCATGATGCCTCAGAACACTTACTGTGATCCTCTTGTGTTCCCTTATCTCTGATAGCAGTTTGACAACTGAACAAAAGTACAACATACTTGCTACTTTTAGAACATGAAGTGTTTATATCTGCATACAGGTAAGAAATAATCCGACTTAAACAGTAAATTACTGCAGTTTATCACATCTGTCTCTTATTGTCCAATTGTACAATTAAGATATACCTCAGTAGGTCTGGGATGTAAGATAACTTACTGAAAAATGCCAACATGAAGATGCCATCATTGCCCACTCTAAGCTGATCTGCATCACTGAAATCATCCCGTGGTGGATACTCTTCTTCCTGGATTTACAGGTTAGTGATAATTTAGTGAAATGTTTATTTTAGAGTAACTATCTGTAGTTTTAAAGTATTAATTAATTTCTAAAGCTAGGAGAGAATTGACATTTCTGTAACAGGTCTGCACATGGGAATTTTAAAAGAAAAATAATTCTTATCAATAAAATAATTCTTGTTATACCGAGAGCTCAGGTTTCTTCAAAAGCTTTCGTTAGAAGATACGTACATGTTGTATACTCAAAGGAGACAAGAAATTCATCTTAAATGAAACTAGAAATTGTCAGACATTTTTACAACCAAAACTAGCAGAAATTTCTATTGTTACTATATCTCTTATATCCTAATATACAGCTAAGCAATTAAATATAATCTTTTAAAGAATGATTTCACAGTTTTTGGTTTTTTTTTTTTCCCTCCCCTGAAAGGCAAGCCATTTTTATTGTTTCCCAAACTACAGAATAAACTTTCAGAATAAACTTAGCGTCTTAAGACAAGCTGCTGTTGCAACAACATGGCACTACCCAACTCTACATACTCTTATTGATCCTCTAATCCACGGCCAAGCACATACAAAGCAGAGAGCCTCTCATGACACAGGAGGGCGCAAGCACCTCAAAAGTCTTCTCAACTCAAAAATGGGAATATTTAAGGCAAACGAAACTGAATGGACGGATTTCAGTCAAAACAATCTCAAGATTTCTCCAGCCATGTCACAATTTTAGATCTTAAACTTCTGAGAGCATAAGGTTTATCTATTTTCCAATACTCTATTTGCAGCAGGCCTTGCAAATACAGTTCTGGGGAGAACTAAGGCATCACCACAATCGTAGGCTGGGAAAAACAAATGTTCACAGTGAGAGCGCTCATTAAAGACAGCCTGATGAAACTGTAAAATCAATTAAAAAGACTAGTTCTGACAGTTGAGTGACCGGTTGAAAGAAAAAAAAAAAAAAAAAAAAAAAAACACACCACGGTGATTCAAGTTAAGCAGTGCCACCAGCAACAGGAGTAATACCATTTAGATAAAAACATGAGTAACATGCATTTACTTTGTCCATACATTTTTTTTCTCTCCATGTAATCATAATGGATTAGAATTAAGATAAAACGTACTCTATTAAAAAACATAATTCAAGGAAAATTTACCAAAATGAGACCAACTTAGCTGTTTTCTTTCCCCACAGCAAACAATTGCAACTGAAAAAAGCATTAGTCTGATTTTATCACGTTTTTCACCTGCTGTCCCAAATGTCTTTTTGTACATTAAGTTGGTAACCAAAAGGACCTTAAATCACACTGATCTGCCCTGTGATTGACATGTTTGCTCACCAAGGTGAGCATAAGGGAACAGTTTACAGGGAGACAGTGACAGCAGTGGGAACACGCAGTGCCTAACTCAAGGTGGCCAGCACCATCCCTTAAAATGCGTGTATGGAATTTCAGATGCTCCCTTTCATTTCAGGTTAATAATCCAGTAATCAGATAAGTTGCTCGTTGCTATTCACACAGATAATTCAAATTAAAAACACAGGAAAGAAAAAAAGGCAGCAATCTTATGATGGTACAATTCAACTCTATATAATTTCAGATATCCCTTAATGGTGATTTTAGGTGACCATGGAAACATTAATTTACTTAGCATAACTTCACTGCAACTATAATAGTGACAGATGAGAGAAATCACAGGCAGAAAAGTCACTAAACAAAAGAAAATACTTGAATGTGCTCATCTCCAAAAGCACAACTCAAGCTTTCTTTCAAGTTAGGACAACAAAACAAATTTTTCAATCCAGATTTCAGGGGGACCATAAAATAGAGCTTTTTTTTTTTCCCCCCTCCACGCTTTTAACTGACTAGTAACTACTGCATGACATACTGGCATTTCTGTATCAATTAGAGAGCCACTCTCTACACAAAATGTTCCTTCAGAAAAGCAACATTTTTCTCGATCACACTAACAAGTTTAACAGGTTTCTCAAGGGGCACATTGCTAAGGCTTGCACATATAAAAAAACAAGTCAATACCCTGGAACATGCAAACAAACATTGCAAGGAGGTGCTTGTGTAGTAGATGTAAACAGCCTCTAATTTAAGCACCCTCCATGTCAAAGGAGAGTTATTAAATCAAGACTCTCCTACTGCCTTCAAGCACTGGGATATTAAATTCATCAGAAACTTTAGGAATGATGAAATAGGGCTTTCTAGCTTTAAATCCGATTCAAATTAAATTTCCAAGATACAGCCACCTTCGAGCACTACATGGTTTACTGATCCTGGACCTACAGATGGAAGACACCAATGTGCCATTGGTCCACATGTGTCAACTGTGCTTCCCAGGACAAAGTTCATCCTGAGCTATTTAGTATCAGCTATCCCATTTTTTCCTTCAAAGATAACTGTTTGTCACCTTTTTGGTACCATTTTAATGGACTACGTGAAATGACTCTGACTTTTCAGTGGCTGCTCAGAATTAAACATAACTTCACAGTAGTAATTCTATTAGATATTAATGACATTGCTCTCAATTATTTGAATACAGCCACACAAGGAAATTGCTAAAATACGCAATATTGTTTCAGTATCTTATATTGATTTTTGATAGTAAACCATATTGAGGATTGTGGACAATTCTATCTGCTAAGTGTGCTACAAAAACAGCAAAATACATGATCAGTATAAATGCATGTCACACAGTAACTTCTGAGCAAAACAGCACACTGCACACAACATGCACTTAAGTTGAACCTGTTAACTTCTCTGGGACCACAATTCTGTGGTTATTCTATGAAGAGAGGGTCTTTTCTTCCCCAAGGCTTTTTAAGTTACTTCAGACTGAAACCCAGCACGGCCTATAGCAAGATGCCCAAATTTAATCAAGGAAAGGAATAGAGTTGTCAGAACCCCCTTGGGTAACTAAACTGATACAATGCTGTGAAATATATCCCTAGGAAAAGGGTCAAATTAGTGGGAAACTTATTAACTGCCCTTTCAGCACATAAAACAACATTGAGAAGTCAATGGTTTAGTGGAAGAGGGTGTGAAATCATGAAGAAGCCCATCAGCATTTGCTTGCCAACAGAAAAAGTCACAGTTAAAGTCTAAACTAGAGAGAACTATACCATACCTCTGAAGGACTGAGGAATATTTCATCAAACAGACTCCTAGACTCCCTAAACTGGGCGTGCTAAGCATGTAAAAACAGAAAAATAAGACAGATGCAACTAAAGCAGCACATTAAAAGCCATTTATTACAACATACAAACAAAACACATAACTGTTAAAAAATACTTTTGTCCATTTAAATAACCTTTCAAAGCTGACCTTGAGAATTAGAAAATATCAAAACCCAGCTAACTAATATCAGTACTGACAGCACGGCTAAGCTTAGATTGCTCATAAACTCTGTGGATGCAGAGACTGGGAGAGAGTAGCAAGATTGCACTACAGTTTTTCTTAATATTCCTACCTTCCATAGGACAAGACAAGGTCAAAAGCGGTTCATTAAATGCGCTATTGCTGTATATGTTTTTCCCCTCTTGCTCAATGTGCAGCTTTCACTGCATGCTTTACTGCACACTTTAGAATAGATCATGAAACATTTTTCAGTTTCTTCACAGATTGCTCAATGCAACCTAAGGACATCAATTTTTTTTTTTTTTTTTTGCAACTGGTAGCACTATTGCAGTGAAAGGGAAATACTATCCTACTATCCTCATTTTACATGTAAGAAGTTGAAAGCATAGCAGAGCTGTAAGGCTGAGAACTCAGAAATGATGTGCTATGTTGGTGCTTTGAGAACTGTATTAAACAAGTCTGACACTGTCTGCAGCTTGTGGTCTCAAGCACAGTGCAAGTGAGAAAACAGCTGGAGGTAGTGCAAACTTTAAGGGATTTATCTGTTCCCCCATATTAGATCAAGACACTCTTAATATACAGCCTTAGCTGAACCAGAGTATGTCTGTTGTAAGGATTAAATAGGGTAGGGATTCCGGGGAAATATCATGTGGCCAGATAATTAAAATAGCATCAATTAAAACTGCACTGGCACGTAAGACTGATAGCATCTACAAAACAAAATCTTGGCTTTGGTTTATGCTCCTTTTTTCCCCCCCTCCAAAGCTTTACTTTGAAAGCTTAATATTGTTTCTTTAATATAGCTTGGGGGATGAGTCTTTATTTTTATTTAAAAACAACAAGTAAAAATTCTATCAAACTTGAGGCTCCTGGCACTCAGCAGGACTGCTGCTGTTAGATGCACTGAATAGACTTCTGCCACTCATTTAATACTGACTTAAGTCTACAGCCTTAGGGAACGATGTTTGTTCCTATGGATTTTTCAGAAGTAGGCTGTTTTTGTGGTGTAAACACCTAGTTCCTGAATTTTGAGTTCTGCTGGAAATAACACGCATATGGACAGATTTTAGGCAAACATTTATCACTTTGCTACCACATCCTACTCTCCCACCTCATCATTCCAGACTCCTTTCCCTTGCCTCAATTTCCTCCTACCTTTGCTATTTACTTTCTTCCTTGACCAACTATTGACATTTTACTTGGTCATTTGGCTTGTGCCTCTTCTTGCATTGCCTGACTGCCAGTTAGCAGTTATTTTCTTTCCTCAGCTCCACTTTCTTTGCATCTTGCCCCACACCTACTCAGTTTATCTCCCCTCCCTACACTCAATTTTCCCCCACATTTGCTTCAGTTCCTTTTCCAGCACCACATTTTCCTTTCTTGGCCAATCCCAGCTGAGAAATCCCATCCTTCTTCTTGCCCCTTACTAAAGTATCTCAGTATATCCCTCCCTAGAAGCCACTGCACAGCCAACATCGGTGTCATTTCTCGTTTTGGCTATTAGCCCCATCCTCCCTGACCCCGTCTTTCTCTCCTCACTTTAAGGCAGTTACCTCCTAGCCCAAAGCAAAACCAGACTTCTCTCCTCACAGCTTCTCTCCTCACAGCTTCAGTCACCCAATTTCCTCACCACTTGCTCTTTTCCCTGTATCTACATGGATGCCTTATTGCTCCAATCAAACTGCTTTCCCCTTCCTTATGGATCCAAGGCCAGGAACAGTAAAACTACTTTAGGTCACAAGAAAAAAAGTACCAATACTCAGTTCCAGTGCTTTCATTAAAAGCAGCCCAGAGCAGCCACAAGGTGTATCTACTTTTAGATTTACAATTCTGTTCCTTTTCAGATGATTGGTATCGTTCCTCTTCACAGCTTTGAGCAGTCTGAACTTGTTCAAGGAAGGCTTATCCACAGATTTACCAAATTCAAACCTGTATGCACCAACTGTGGAAACTTCTTCAAAAGCTTATAATTTGGTCAAAATGAGGCAGATTTTCTGCAGAAGGCAAAAGACATTTCTAACAGTGACCAGATCATGTGAGCATCAAAATTCTCCAAAATAAAAACCTTAAAAACATGGGAAAACACTACTGTGTTTTGGTCGTCTTTTTCTTGGAATCAACTGAGCCATATCCTGAGATTTTTCCAGAGAGATCCAGCTCAGAGAAGAATGCCTGTATGCCTAAAACTGCTGCGCTCCTGCGAGAGCAGTTCAAGCCATCCTGCCTTCAGAGCAGGAACCTGCCAGCTGATTACGCAAACGTTCCTGACGCGCTGCCACGTTTCTTAATCCAGATCGGGGCTACACCTTCACTGGCAGCATTACACAAACCTCCTTCAATTTAAGCTGTTCATACCTTAAAGAAACTGTTGTGGGTATGACTGTTGTACGGCAGTCAAGGAACAAGCTCTGTCTGAGCTAGCAGAATTTTTTTTTAAATGGTTGCAAAGACTCCTCTGAGTGACAGGCATAATTCAGTCAGCCTACAGACTATAAATAGAGTTCAACTGCAGTCACATGCAATTTCAACATGGGGTGTTTTAGTGAAAGCACTGGAAACCTAACTCGAGAAGAGTAAAATACAGCTAATGACACCAAGCACTAGAAAGTTCCACCTTCCAGAATTTGGATAAGAAAGAACAAAATCATCAACTATTTACAAAACAAAACTAACATTTAGATAATTAAAACTGTAAATATCAATTTTCTACTTTGAAGACTGTATTACTTAGGATGTTAATTCTCACAAAGCTATAAGCACTGTATATACACACACAGACCTATTAATTAACTTATCGACAGCAACCTTTAAAAAGTATTCGGAACATAATTTCAGTATTAAAGTACTAAAATTTTCATGAAACAAGTAACAGGGACTTTTCCTTCTAAAAGTTCTGCAGCATTTGTTGTTTTGCCACTTACAGGTTGTTGGGATTTCCCTATTTGGTTATTAGTTTATTACCATCTGAAAAGCTCAAAATATGCATAAACTCCTAAGAGTAAAATTAGTAGGGGTTCTTAATTAAAAGGGGACACCATATAGGATGAGTTATCAAGACAATGCACAATTTGGCTTCTAAAGATGTTTGGCAAGCTCTCCTGTCTCAGAAGGAAGTGAATACTGTATGCTTTTTTTAGAGTATTCTGCAACTAACTTGCACAATCTATGAAGGATTAAAAGTCCAAAATATTTAAAATCACTAACACATCATAATTTTAATAAATAGGTCATCATATGGCTCCAGTTTTATAAATAACTCACTGAAAGATTTCACAAAGTTGAATAGAGGAGAACTACATCACTTACTCGTTGGGCAACTTCTGCTGCAGCAGCTGCCATTGCTGCAGCTTTGGCCTTCTCTGCTTCATCGTAAGTAGGAAGAGAGGTAGCTACACTGTAGGGAGGTGGTACAGGATAAAATCCATTCTGTGTTTCTGTTCAAAATAAGAGGTTTATTCATTTTTAAACAAGAAAGATGTCAATAACTGTAAATATTAAACACACAGAACTATTGAGCTTTAAAGTACCTAGGAAGTTCAGCTTCTGTTAAAAATACTTGTACTTCAAATTCTTAGAAGTTACAAAAAAGTATTTTATTAAATAAAATAACAAAAAAATTAAGGAAGCTTGAAGTTCCTGCTCAAGACCGAAACTTTAACTTAGATATTGTAAAGAGCTAACATTTTTAGGAACAGAGACAGTACTTGCTGAGGTGCATATCTAGATATTCTAACCAAGAAATTGTTTTATCAAATCATACAAAAAGCACACAAAGGAAAACCCTGAAAAGGATTGTTAGTTATCAATCCTGATTACGTCCTGTCACATTATCCTTATTATATGATATTTTATACTATATTATACTTTATATATACTTATATATACTACTATATTATACTTAAGTCCTTATCATACTATATTTTTATTAGCAATGCCTTGGTACTAATTCCAGTCAATTCATGAAAATCTGTTGTTTCAAGATTTCAATCTTACCACATTCTTTGAAAAAAATAGTGTTCCTTATATTAATATGGACAGACATAACTTTTATATCCTGAAACAGTACGGTATGATCATAAAATCATTTTTAAAAAATATTAAAAAATTAAAGTTATTTTAAAACACACCGAGTTTCCTTCCACAAGCAGCAGGACTTTCCAACAAGTTCCTTCCTTGGTAAAGAACTGTCAGCGCAGGTGCCAATACCACAGAGATATAATATACAGGATAATCCTGAGTGGCCATTTATTATACCCTTAAACATATCTTTCTGAAAGAATAGGCGTAATAAAGTGCTTGACTCAATAAGAAAAACAAGCCACAGATTAATTCTGGAACACATACTTTGTTCAAATTCAAGCAACACCGCTTACAGCAGGTAATATTCAAGTCTCTATTTAAGTCTTTGGGACCCCAAACAAGAAAGGGAGGAGAGAAGAGAGTGAGGAAAAAAATTAAATAATAACAACAATGATGAAAATAAAAGCACTATAATTTTCATTTTAAATTGCTTGATAAAATTAAAAAAAAAAAAGGTGGGGGGAGCATCTTCTCATGGCAGTATTTTCACCAAATATGCCACGTTCCTTTAAGGAGTCTTAGCTTGGTAAATTGTCTTTCTTTTATAAAGGCATGAAAATTGCTAATGAGGTCTATTACAGAGCACTGCTTTAATCTGCAAAAATTAAATGTGGAATGGAATTAACAGGCAGACTTAAATAAAACCAAAGTATCACACTAATTAATGAACACTCAATTAGTCTGCTAATTTGGAGCAACCGGCGTGATTTAGAAGCAGGCTGCCTCTGAACACCCGGGGCAGAGACCAGCACATGGAAACTCATCCTCTTCGGGAAGCGTCTGCACGGACAGAACAACACAAAAGCAAAGAAAGGAAGCGGCAGCATCGCAGCACGTTGAACCGAGTGCTGATTCACAGCCCCCTGCTCTGACAAGCTGTTATGTGCCAAGAAAAATACCTGAGGTTGCTGCTGCTTCTACAGCTATGCTGCAGTAGGGTGGAGGGGAAGTGTCTGCTTCAGAGACGGCTGCTGTCTGGGGGGTCTGCGCAGGCTCTGTAGAAGTGGAAGGTTGTTCAGCTGCTGAGGACTCTGGAGAGTCATCCTCATTGTGAAGCTTAAAAAAAATAAACAAACATTTTAGATGCACTCTATTTTATTTACATAGCAATTCAATACTTAAAGAATCCTTTTCAAATTTACAACAAAAAATTCTCTTCAACAAAAATATTTATAAATTAGCACTGGACTATTGCAAATAGTCCAATTAAATCGGATAAACTTAACCACGGATTTTTTTCTCCAGAAATGGATTACTTCTATTCAGCTCTATTCCTGGGAGCCTAAAACTCTGCCTTTCAATGTTTTCCATATGGGAAAATGTTAAGTTTAAAATGCTTTCTTTTACATGAATGTTTTTAAAACTACTACAAGAAGCCTTTTTTACATTTGTAAAATGCATTTTGTAGTGGGTTAATGTAACAGGTGAACATTTTATCGTATTGCATTAATCTAGAGAAATCAACAAAAAAGATTCATATTTCCATTCGCATAACGGAGATTTTTATATTCACATAACTTGTCAGGTAGCTTCTCCATTAAAACTTTGAGACTTTCAAAGCGTTCTGCTTTTCCTTACATTATGGAAATCTTTCCCCCCTATATACTCCTTTAAGTTCTTGTCCTCTGAAAACTGCAATAAAAAGAAGAGAGCACACTTCTGATAAAGCACATGGAAAAATAAGAAAAAGAATAAGCAAGCAGAATGATTAAAACCCTAGAGTTCAAACACTTTTTTCCCCTTGTTAAAGTAGTTCTGGTAGTTTTAGGAAAGCAGAAATCAAATTTTCTTAAGAAAAGTGTTAACCTTAGACAATGTGCATCTACAGAATAGCTACTGAAACACCCTTTCATGCTTTAATTTAACAGCTTTTAAAAGGATCCTAAAGAATATTGTCTTCCTATTTGTAACCAGAATACAAAGGATACATCTACACTAATCTTGTATTAGGCAAAGTATAATTAGACTACAAAACATACTTTCAGAAGAGAGGGTGCTAAATAAGTCTTACTAAATATTGCTATATTCCCACTAATAATGCTTTTTTATCCAGAGAATATAAAATCTGCAGGTTACAGATTCTCTGCTTAATTTTTTCCAACAATAAATTAAAGTTCATAGCAGGAATAGCAAGGAAATAAGACATTTCGTTCAATAACAGGCAGGTAAATTGAAAAATAGTTTAAGAGAAAGTACAAAATACTTCACAAGAAATTAGAAGAACAACTTCATAAAGTTTTCATATAATTTCTTACTTATGTGACAAAAAATCATCTACTTTTTAAGCTTTGATTTTGATTCTGATTCAACTTCACCATTAACTTAAACAAGTTTAAAGCATTTTTCCAATATTCCCTCTCCAAATACTGGATTCAAGTATCTGTAGCCCCTAACTTATTTCTATAGAAGTATGTGCGTGCGCCCGTGCACACACACAACCAGGCAGAGACCAGGTAACAGAAATGAGCACTGAAAGCGCAGGAAAACTGAGCAATTTGGTCATTTAATCTCTCACCAATGGTCCCCAAAAAAGCAGCAAACATATGAGAAATATGCTGAGCTCTTTAGACTGGTTAAGTGCGGGGCGGTGGGGGGAAATCAAGATAATCTAATATGTGAGCAAGACAGGAAATCCTGATTTTGAAAAGGCCGAGTAGGTCGGGGTGGGGGGTGTGCTGTTTTACTAGGAAGGAGGTGAGCAATAACAAAATTGCTGGCATACTTTTACAGCAATGGCTGGTACACCCTCATCTGGAATGTGTGGGGAGTTCTGATTACCCCACTGCAACAACTTGGTCTATGAGCAGTAGAGGAAAGAGTCTAGTTAAGGGAGGTGTCCATAATGGCCGTTCTTCCCACTTCTTGCCCTCCCCTCAGTGAGGGCAACTCGATCTTCTGTCAAAAAAACTGTATAGATAAGACCACTGACACCAGCTCATGCATCAAAAAAAAGACAACTGCTCAACAGGCACTTTTTCCTTACCAAGGGAATTAATTGTGTCTGCCCTACCTGCTTGCCTGAAAACTCCTCTCGTTGAAATCCTCTGAAAGTCACCAACGGTTATAAGTGATGGAGGTGAAAAGAGGTTGGGAAGAGAACATCCAAATAGGACACTTTTTTCTTCAGGAAAAGTGACGAGGCAACCAGCTGCAACAGCAACGGCGTGGAGGGAACAGGAAAACGCCACACTACAGACTCCGAAGGAGCCCTTTATGCCCTTTGATTAGGTGCATCCAAAAAAACGCCCAGCCCTGGTCATTATTTTGGATGATTCATATCAGGGCAAAGCATTTCTATTTCTGTTGTCCCTTACTGAGCGGATCTTTCAGAAATCCTGAGGGCAGCATGGCTATACCAGCTCAGCAACTTCCCAAGAATTTACAACACTCCTTACAGGACACCGCATTGCGGGGCAGGAACTCCAGGTCCTCTCTCAGGCTTCCCAAAGACCCTCCTGGGACAGCGGACTCACCCTGCGAGCTGCGAATCCCACTCTCCCAGACGGGCGGGCAGGCAGGCAGGTACATGGGTATGCAGGTGGGTAGACCAGCTCTCCCGCTAGGCCTCCACAGGCAGCGGCTCCCCTCTGCGGAGCGGCCGGTTCTCTTGAGCCTTTGGGAGCGGAGCTACCTGCGGCCCTCCCTCCTGCCCCCTTCGCTTGGCCTGGCACAGACCCATGCTGGTTTTGGGGACAGGGGGAGCAGAGGTCTGACAGCCAGCACGGAGGTTTCATTTCCGTAGACACCAAACTAAAAACACTCAGACGGGAATAGAAAAACGTCTGTTTCAAGGCAGTACTTGAATGCTACTTTCTTGGGATTTAACAAAGTCAACAAAATTTACCTGAAATTCTTTTCAGTAGTAAGACTACTCTGCCCACGTTTTCAATTGAAGGAGTGGGAAGAGCCCACAGTTCAGGTCCCCCTCACTACAAGCGAGCTATTATATAACTGCAAGCAGAGCAGCTTTTGCCAAGGTTATGGTCAAAATAACTGCCAGGACCTCTTAAACAGCTACAGGCAACAGTAAATTACCACCTTCCTCTGCTCCCCACCACACTATTTTAAGAGCAGGGCTCAAAGGCATGTTCTTCTGTGTTAGCTCCATGTGAAACGTTCTTTTCAATAAGGTTTTCCTGCAACTAGCCCAGTTTCACTGGTAATAGTCAGCTTTCTAGAAATCCATTTTTAGATAATCCAGAGCAGACTCCCTCACACGTTAGGCTGTGTGCAGTGTAGCCAGCTGACTGTGCAGATCATTAAAATTCAAAACAGGACATATTTCAGTATATTTAGATTCTGCCTAAACTGCCTTCTTCTGCTTTCCCAGCCCTATAGCTACAGGGCATTAGGGGTTCAAGAGCCAGACTGTTTAGACTTGCAAACTACACCTAAGTCCAGGCACTTTCAAAGCTTAAAATTGCAAACTTAGATATAGAAGTAACAGTTCCTCTAACATCAGTGGAGATGACCAGAGAATAAACAACCAGAGGAGGAAAATATTAATTTCCTTCACATGCTTTTTTACTTAGACTATCTTCAGCTGATATCCCAACCAGGATCTCTAAACCAGTAATTCAATACTCTCTTCCAGAAGAAGCTAGAAAGTATCTGTGCATTCACATTTTCAGATCTTCTAGCAGCAACATACTATGGAAGAGGAAAGAAAGAAAGAAAAAAAAAAAGGAAAAAAAAAAGGAAAAAAGTGGTAGAGCCACTTTTAGCATTTCATTTTTATCAAAAATAATTAATAATTCTTGGAGGGAATAAACAACAGGAGGAGATCGCTAAGTCCTCTATTTTGTTTGTGGAAATAATGATTTGTAAAGTAACCCGACGTGGAGGGTAGAATGAGCAGACATCCTGCAACAGAACATGAACCACAAATAAGGGCTCAGCAGCACAGAAGCCCTTCACTGCAGGGCAGGCTGGGCACAATTTTCCTCTTTAAGCTTTCCAGAAATGAAGACTTCAAGTGGAAAGATGTTATTCTCTACTTAACTTTTCACTTCCCCTCCAGACTGTGATTTTTGGGGAACTACAAATGTCTGCTTGTTTGTATAACTTGAGTATCTTCTGATAAATTGCCTGATTGTAGAGGAGCGGCAATAAAGACAAATTGTTAAAATATGTCAAATTTGTAGGCGAGCCCAGGAAGAGGATATACTGTGACGATCTGCAGTGCCAGCTAGACTGCATCGGACTCCGCAAGCTTAGCGAGACATCTTCTGATCGAGTGGATTAAAGCTGCACATGTCATCTCTTATCATCCTGACAGCATATGGTACAAAAGTGCCATACACACACGCAGCCTACTTCTGTTACCCAATTTTATGCACCTTCTTTTAAAAGTTGCTGTATTTTCCATTTTCTAAAATGTAATTCACATCATATAAACAAGCACTGCAATGCAACTTCAACAATACATTAGGAACCTTACTTTTGTCCACCTCCCCCCCCCCAAAAAAAAAAACTGTTTTCACATTATATTAGTTTTCTAAATGTATTTTCTGCTGCTCTAAAAGGCATCCAGCTTTCTCTCCCTATTTTCATTTATACCTGTACTGTAAGATTGTCTTGACGAGGATGACTTAGGGTTTTTTTTTTTTTTTTTAAAAGAAAAACCACAAATGTAGCCATGGTTCTGCCTTGACTAGAGAACTTCAAGCACTTTCGTCTTCCTTTCTAGCCTTTTCAATCACATGAAACTTCAGGAAATTTGGCTCCTCCACTTTCGACCTGAGTTTATCCAAACTGTATACTAATCAATATAATGCATGGATACTCTATAATCATGGATCTAACACTAGGTTTTAGGTAAAAAACATAGAACTAATTGAAGTAGATCACACTTTATTCAAAATAACATTGTCTCTACATTTTCACTGTGGTATAGGCTACTTGCGTATTTTTAGAAAGACCCATGAAACAATATAAACACTATGTAAGCGCAGTACACAGTTAGACAGGAATTACAAGATGAGAAGATAAACCTTCCTACTGAAGAAGAAACACTGCAAGTTTCTTGTTCATCAGCAGAGGGAAAAACATTTATAACTTTCTTCTCAATATCAGTTTTCATTCTCTATCAAGGCACTGATTTACAACAAGCTTATGCTCTTGTCCACAAACTCCTGTTGCAATGTAGGCTGTCAAGAAGTCCTGCAGAAGAAAACTTTGAATTCCTGTTAACTGAAAGCTATTTGCAGTTCACCAAGTACTTTCTCTTCTGAAACATACTATAGTAACCACAGGCAGTGAGCTCCCCTCCAGAAATTACCTCTCTAAAGATGTTAGACTGAGAGCCTCCCAGGGAATAAATACTACATTAAAGTACAAAGTCATGAAGCTATATAAGATACTTTGGTACAAGCAGGTAAGACACAAAAGTCCAGCAAACTTCAGCAACTTTAGCTTTTCATCCTTTGGTTTACACCTAAAACATCAGTTGACCAAAGCCCACAGACATACCAAAGGACACAGAGCAGTTCTACGTAATTTTTCCCCCACGATCCCATCACTTGACAAATGGGAATTCCCTCACAGATGCCAGATTTAGCACTGCTCCTTTGCGACAGTGCAGTGGGTTGTTTTGATACATCTCTGGAAAAAGTACTCAACAGTAGCCAATATGTTTTAAGGTCACAGATATAAAATCTGCACTGGAAGCAGGAAAGCGGAACAGAAGGCCATTGCTGCCATTCCACAGCTGTGTAGAAATACCAAATGTGTCTGCTAAATAAGGATTAGGCACCATGGAAACCCACAACCTCTGGAGGCAAATTTCTACCGAAAAGAATCCAGAGAGATTTATACTGAATGTTGTTGAAAAAAATAAAAAATACATTGCAACAGAACAGTTTTTCTGGCAAAGTTAGACTCTTCACATAAAAATAAAGCAATCCATAGCAACTGAAAGTGTTTTACATGCAAGTGTAAAAAAAGATACTCATACATATTAATGTAAAGAGTGAAAACATTTTAGTCAGTTCTCACATCAGAGGTCTAGCCTATGGATTTTTCCAAGGTTTGTTGTTGTTTTAAAGAAGCAAATGGGCATTTAAGAAAAAAATAAAAATACAGATAATGGTTAGGATTTCCAGTGGTGGAAGAGGTAATATTCTAAAGGATACTAGATGCATAAAATGTAACTTAGCATTTAATTTCTCATGGATTGTAATCTAGATTTAAACAATTAAGTACAAATTTAACAACACAGTACATGCATTTGCATGCATTCCTTTTTGTCCCCAAGAGAGCTATTTCTTCCCATCTCCCATACCAATAGCAAATGCAGAGCTATCCTTAGCAAAGGACAGTCAACAACATACCATGTGTCAATATTAGAACCCTTCTACAAGTAAATATGCCAAGACTAACTCCAGCTAAAAGGGCTTTCGTTGAAAATAGTTGTTTCCTCCTAGTTTTTTCCTCCTCTAATACGGGAATATTCAGAGATAATTCTGAATACTGGAATTTTGATATGAGAGGTATGTTTGATTTTTAATCACAAAATTATCAATAGGGCAAATACTGCCACAAGTTTTGTTATAGATGCTACACCCCTGCCTATTCCATTTAATAACTTCTATGGACTTGTTGCCCAAGAACCTTTTCAATCTGCTAGTACTATTTGCCTCTCATGTACTAACAAATTACATGCATCTAGTACATCAAGTAAGTCCTGATCATACTGAAGTAACTCAGAACATACAAAACATGTAAACTGTAAAAATAATGAGCATATGAGAACCTGTAAAATTGGGAGATGGACAAAACTGCCACCAATAACAAACTTGTCATTTAACATTTAGTTGCAGTTTTCATTCTAACCTGAATTCATCCGGGCTAAAAACTTCAGTGCTGATACAAAAAGTGAAGTATTTCTGAAAATATCATTCTTGTTTCACTGAAAGGCTAAAGTACGATAGGAAGGTTCACGGACAGCAGCTTCCTAATGAGGACAATGAGGGGGAGGCTAAAAACTGCAAATCCAGTTTGTACGGAGAAGGATGAGGAAGAAAATGAGATCTTCCTAGAGAAGTATTATAGTAACTGAACTATGAAAGGGGTACCTTAGGTCCTTCATTTGACAGCGTAAGAAAAAAAAAAAAAAGGACTTGAGTTTGTGTCTCCTATCTCACAATTGAATTACCCTTGAAAATTCTGGAGTAAAATCCTAAGAAAAGCTTGAATTATGTCACAGACAGCACAGGTGTTTTTCTCTTGGGTATCTGAATAAAGCTAGTCAAGCAGGAACAGGCTCCCACTCAGCAGTCCTAAATAGCTCCAATGAAAACCGCTGGATCAAATAATACATATATCAGAGGAGTAAGTCAATAAATGCAAACTGTTATTCTTATTAAACAGGTCAATCCATTTTGTATATAACTCATTTATTGGCAACTGAAAAAGTGGAGTACTCAAGCTCCACAATTTCAGATATCAGCAAATCATATAATTAAAGAGATGTGACATACAAGTCCCAACACCTTAAAAAAAATGTGATCTGGTAGGACATATTTTTCCTCGCAAAAGAATATGCAAAAGAATAGGTTTTACTGAAGTTACCTTGTTTTGAATTGCAGACTTTTCTCCTGTATCCGCTATGGAACACCCAGCTTTACTTGAAATTTAGTGACAAATACAACCCAGAAGAGCAATAAACTATAAAAGTCTGCTTCCCTGTCTTTCCTGTCTTTAAAGGACATGCTTTGTATTTCCGTTGATAAAC